AGTGGCCATGCTGAGGAGGAGAAGGAGGAGGCTGGTAGGTTTTATTTTCTGCTTCTAGTCCATTCTCTTCCTACTTAATGGGGATGGCAGGAGGTGAAAGGTTGGTGAAATTGATGGGAGGTGGCTTTTAGGGGAAGACTTCTCTGATGGGGGACAGTAACAGCTTCTGTTTCTTTCCTACCAAAATCAATAATAAAAATTCACCCTTACCACTTCCTACATAGAAGAAGCACTCAAGGAAAAGGAGAAGCCTAAGGAAGAAGAAAGGGAGAAGCCTAAGGATGCCGCAGGGCTGGAGTGTAAGCCCCGGCCCCTGCATAAGACATGCTCTCTCTTCATGCGCAACATTGCGCCCAATATCTCCAGGGCTGAGATCATTTCTGTGAGTGGGGAAATAAACTTGAGGGTAGGGGCTGATACCCAGGATGTGTTCCTTTGGCAGGGTGGGTGGAGAGGAAGGCATTGGCACTGCCTTTGACAGATATCCCTATTTCACTTAACAGGGAGGCCCCCTTCCCATGGGCCCATGCTCTTCAAGGGCTGGTCGTTGTTGCACCATTTGCTTTCAGGTGCTAGCATTCTTCAGCCCATGACTGGTTTTTTCTTGCCTGAGGATGGGAAGGATTGAAAGGCAGTTTCCTGGGGTTTTGAGGGCAGCAGGGATTGGAGGAAGAAGCAAATCCTTGAATCATTAAGTGGGGTTTCTGTTCCTCTGCTTCTTGCAGCTTTGTAAAAGATACCCAGGCTTTATGCGTGTGGCATTGTCAGAGCCCCAGCCAGAAAGGAGGTGAGGAACTAGGTATCTTGGCGAGAAGGTGCAGGGGAAGTCCCATGGTCCCACTTCTGGACTGTGCTGACATTTTCTTTCTTGTGTAGGTTTTTCCGTCGTGGCTGGGTAACTTTTGACCGCAGTGTTAACATTAAAGAGATCTGTTGGAACTTGCAGAATATCCGAGTGAGCTCTGGGAATGGGACTGTCTTGGGGAAGAGAAAGTGTGGTTCTCCAAGCCTGCATGACCTCTGACTTCATTGTTTATTTGTTGGTCTATTCATTTTGTGCCCTCTTTCATCTGTTCAGTCGCTCCCATTAATTGTTTACTCTTGTCTCTGGGCTGGGCTCTGGGGCTGTTACTATGGATTAGACATATCTGGTCCCTGTCTTCAGGGAGCTCACAGTCTAATCAATCACTGGTGCTCGCAGGAGGGGCCAGTCTTTGGACTGTTGCTTCTCAGGCAAGTGTTGGGAGCTTTCTGATTCTGTGTTCCTCTAGCTCCGGGAGTGCGAGCTGAGCCCTGGTGTGAACAGAGACCTGACTCGCCGCGTCCGCAACATTAATGGCATTACCCAACACAAGCAGATTGTGCGCAATGACATCAAGCTGGCAGCCAAGCTGATCCATACGCTGGATGACAGGACCCAGCTCTGGGCCTCTGAGCCAGGGACACCTCCCCTGCCAACAGTCAGTGACTCCCTTATGGGACTTTTTCAAAAGCAGCTGATACCACCTTATCTGCTGTGGGCACCTCTGACCTCACTTTGATCTGTAGTATTGACCCCTAGTATCCTCCTGCCTGCTCACTTGTTTGCCCCTCCTTGTCTGGGTAGTACCTCCTCCAGCTTTCAGCAGAACAGACTGACCATAGTAATCATTTGTGGGCTAGGGTAGAACAAGTACAAAAATGAAGGCAGATGCTAAGGGGGCAAAGATAACCCTGAACTCTGTTGCCCCTCACATTGCCTTTCCAAATGCACACGTTCTTTCTTGGGTTACCTGTGCTAGGTTTTTTTTCTCTGCCTCACTTGGTCCTCTTCTCTCTGCCAGAGCCTGCCCTCGCAAAACCCAATCTTGAAGAATATCACCGACTACCTGATCGAAGAAGTCAGTGCTGAGGAGGAAGAGCTGTTGGGGAGCAGCGGGGGAGCCCCTCCAGAGGAGCCTCCCAAGGAAGGGAACCCAGCTGAGATCAATGTGGAGCGGGATGAGAAGCTGATCAAGGTGCCAGTAGCACATGGGGTGCAGCTCAGGGTAGTTGAGGGGCGAGAGTAGGGAACCAAGGGTTTCTTGTTTCCCTTAGGTTTTGGACAAACTCCTTCTCTACTTGCGCATTGTGCATTCCTTGGATTATTATAACACCTGCGAGTACCCCAATGAAGATGAAATGCCCAATCGTTGTGGCATAATCCACGTTCGGGGGCCCATGCCACCCAACCGCATCAGTCATGGAGAAGGTGAGCTCCAGGTTCCCATTCCCTTTTTCTCCCTGGCTGCCCTTAGTCCTTTGGTGGCAGTCTTTTGTCACCTCCCCTGCAGTCCCCTCCCCACTCCTATCCTTCCTTCTGGCTTTCCCCTTCAACCTTTCTTTCTGTTCCCAAACTACAGTACTAGAGTGGCAGAAGACATTTGAGGAGAAGCTGACTCCACTGTTGAGTGTGCGAGAGTCTCTCTCAGAGGAAGAGGCCCAGAAGATGGGTCGAAAAGACCCTGAACAGGAAGTGGAAAAGTTTGTCACCTCTAACACCCAGGAACTGGGCAAGGATAAGTGGCTGTGTCCTCTTAGTGGCAAGAAATTCAAGGTCTGGGATGTTAGAGAATTGGTTGGGTAGAATTGTAGGAGGTGGGGTTGAGACAGGAGGTAGGAGTGTGGGGGTGGTGCTCACTGGATGGCAGGGGGGAGGCTGATGATCCTTCCAGGTTGGGCCTGGTAATGAGGGAACTCACGTGACTTGCCCTGTCCTGATCATCTCTCTCCACCCAGGGTCCTGAGTTTGTACGCAAACATATCTTCAACAAGCATGCGGAGAAAATTGAGGAAGTAAAGAAGGAGGTGGCATTTTTTAACAACTTCCTCACTGATGCCAAACGCCCTGCTCTGCCTGAGATTAAGCCAGCCCAGCCACCTGGCCCTGCCCAGAGTAAGATACGATCCATGAGGGTCTGCATGTTCCCTCTACCTGAACTGTCCACTGACTCCTGTTTCTCTTTAATGTGTCATCCCCTGAGGAGTTTCTGCCCCACCCCTCAGGCCATAGTCCTAGAAGTTAGTTGCACCCCCCCCCCCCCCGCAGTAATTCATGTCCCTGTCCGTGTTGTACTCCCCCCAGGCCTGACCCCGGGACTTCCTTACCCACACCAGACTCCCCAGGGTCTGATGCCCTACGGTCAGCCCCGGCCCCCCATCTTGGGCTATGGAGGTAAGTATATGAGGGAGATGAAAGGCCTTGGTGGTTGTATGGGACTGGGAGAAAGAAAACTTAGCTAGGATGTAGTTGAAGTCATAGGTTTTTAACTCAACATTGATCTTTTTCATAGGTGGTGCAGTCCGCCCTGCAGTCCCCACAGGAGGTCCTCCGTACCCCCATGGCCCATATGGTGCTGGCCGAGGGAACTATGATGCCTTTCGAGGCCAGGGGGGTTATCCTGGGAAACCTCGCAACAGGTAAGAATAAGCTAAGATGTCTAAGCTTTCTTGTGTCTTTCAAACTCCCTTTCAGGAACCCTTAGCTCTCATCCTGTTTTACCTCTTCCCTCACAGGATGGTTCGTGGAGACCCAAGGGCCATCGTGGAATATCGTGACCTGGATGCCCCCGACGATGTTGATTTCTTTTGAGCCGTCCACCTTTCCTCACTCTTGGTACCACCTAAACTTGTTACTGCCTTGTCCCATCCAGCTGAGAATTTTTTTGTACGAACAGCCCTACCACCAATAAAAGCACTTCCATAGTGACTCCTGACTCAGTCTATGTTATGATACCTCTCCAAATCCTCCCAAATGTCAGCGGGGCCATGTTACCTTGGCCTTGCCACTTTTTTATTGATACTAAAGGCCTCTGGCTTTGTTGGGAACCCTTTGTGGTAAATAGGTACACATGTATGGGATCATAGAGCAAGTCTCAGTTCTGGGACCTTTACCCTCAGTCCAGGGCATGCTGCTGCCCTTCGGCGTCATGGGTGGTCAAGCACAGGTTGTAGAAGGAGTTGGGGTCAAAGGTTGTGCTTACCTCCTGCCAGCCCACCCACCCAGCAACCTGTAGTTCACTGGGGCTTTTTGGAGGGCCCCAGTAGTGAGGGTCCAATACCAGGACATAGGCTTCTGTGTCTGGCCCGATGCAGACTCCCAGCAAGGCCTTGGACTGGGCGTCCGCGTCTCCCCCCACCATCACAGGGCCCCCACCCCCTGAGAAATGGGAGTAGAGCCTCTCCAATTGTCCCCGAATCCCTGTTCCACGTGGCACATGGCACAGTCGCCCCTGAGGCCCTTTGAAGTGAGTGAGGCAGAGGCTGGCCTCTACACAGCCGATCCAGTTCCGGGAGCCCCGGAACCCGGGGGGCTTGTCGCCCATGTCCTCCAGGGCCGCCTGCATGGCGGCCAGTCCAGGCACGCCCACGGACTGGCCCTCTGGCCACGAACACAGCGTCTGTATTGTGCGGTAGCCGCAGCCCCAGCCCCGGTCGTCCAGCCCGTCGCAGCCGTAGTGATAGTAGAGGTAGTGGCCCGAGAGGACCGCCAGGCGAGCAGGTCCATGGCACGGCGGGTCCAGGCCCACATGGATGTCCTTCAACAGCTCCAGGGTGGTCGGTGGAAGCGGCGGTCCCGAAGCCAGACAGACACGTCCTCCTGGCGGCGCGGAGCGAACTCCAGGGAGAACTCCGGGCTCCAACACTTCCTCTCGGCTCTGGGTCTTAGACTGGCTGCCGGCAGGACCGGAGAGCTAGCTCCAGTGAGCAGCAGGGAGCAAGCTACACGATCGCCGCAGCTCCCACAATGCACCGCCGCGCCCGCCTGCAGGTCGCCAGCCTCACTGCGCAGGCGCGAGCTCCGCCCCGCGGGGCCGGGGCCTGGTCTCGCCTTGGTGGCTGGTGTGCGGCGCAGGCTGCCAGCGCCCCTCCTCCGAGACCCGCCTGTTCAGCGGCCTCCATCCCCACGCGTGCGTTCGCTCAGCCCCAGTGATTCAGGCGTCCTGCCGCCACCCCCAGCTCTCCAGTCGCGCACACTACTGTGGCTGTAACAGTTTATTGGCAGCCCACAGGGGCGAAGGCACCGCGGGGGGAGCTCAGCCCAAGACATGCAGAGGACGAGGAGCCCCCGGGGAAGTAGGGGGTGGGGTGGGCAGGGTCTGGGGCTCACTGTGTTATATCCCAGCCCTTAAATAAATACTATATACAGCTAGGGGTCCAGGCGGGCGGGAGGACGTGGGGGTCCCGCCTGGGTCACAGGTCTGAGCAGCGATCCTGCTTGCTGTAATGGTCGAACTGGTTCTTCCAGTGTACCATGTAGGAGCTCCAGCGGTGGAACTCGGCCTTCCACTGTCGCTCTGCCTCATCCAGCGTGTCTGCGGCCACCGCGCCCGGCAAATGGAGGGGGGGCGGGTAGGACACGAAGAAGGTCGGGGAACGGACGTGGGGAGGCACGAGTGCAGGGAGGACATGGAGAAATGTAAGACCACGTGAGGTGGTGGAAAGAGGATCAGGAGAATGTGCGAAAGATAGAAGGCGAGAGGGAGGGTGAGGGTAAGGCGGGGCCAGAGACGGATGGCAGGAAGGAGAGAGGAGAAAATGACCGGAAGACGGAGGAGGACAGAAGGGGGAGGGTCCGTGGGTTGGTGGGGAAAAGAGAAGACAAATGATTGACGGTTATAGCCCCACTGGGGGGTGCTATTCAACCCCGGGCCTCCTGCCCCCAACATCAGGCTCAGGCTCCAAAGGATAATTTTATAAAAGAATATTGGCTTTCCATTTCCATTTAAACAAAGGCGTGTGGGTCCCTGAGACAGGTAGCAGGTCATACTCCCCCACCCACCCTGTCCAGTTTGAGTAACTTGGTTTGAGGAGGGAGGGGGCGCTGGGTTGGAGGTCCCTGAGTGGGCTCTTCCCCACGGTCCGACCACTTGTTAGAGGGGGGGGGCCCTGGGGCTGGAGGAGGAAAAGGCCCAGGTCACAGCCGCAGGAGCTGATAGAGAAAGAGGAGGAGGAGGAGGAGGAGAAAGAGGGACAGGGGGAGGCCAGGCTTGGGCCTCGGGGCAGCCTCCCCATGGGCGGGGCCTGAGCAGGTGCTGGGGGATTCCGAGGCTGGGGGGAGAAGAGAGGGGTTACACCCCGCTGGCTCCCACTGCCCTCTTTCTGCGCCCTGAATCCCCCCCCCCACCTGCCCCTGCCCGCTGGCCCCAGCGTACCGGTGGCGCTGAGCAATTTGGGTAGGAAGCGGTTCCAGAAGGCGCAGGCCTGGGCGCGCAGCCCCCGGCGCACCTCCAGCGGCCGCAGGTCCAGGCTCACGTACTGCTGCGCTCCCGCCGTGTACGGTGGCCACTGCGGGGCTTTGGGGTCAACGGGATCATTGGGGTCTCTGCGGAAGGAAAGGGGACTCAGCCTGAAGCAGGCCAGCCCCACCCGGGGGATAGGAGTGGGGATGTGGAATGAAGATGAGCAGTGGGCACAGACTGTGGCCCATCCCCACCTGGCAGGCACTCTGCTGCTCTGCTGCCCTCTTACCGCCCTCCCACCGCCACTGCCCCAACCCTTCTCTCTCCTCTGCCCTTCCCTCAGTCTCTCTGTTCCATCTTCCCCTTTGTTTCTCCCGTAAAGAAACTGCTAGGATATCTTGGACCCTTCCCGCATAACCAGGCCTGGTCCTGTCTCTAGAAACATCACATTGTCTTTCCACAGCATCCATCTGATGCTGGATTGATTGTCCCCTTCTTCCGTCAGGTACTGGTGTGTGTGCAAGGGAGAATGTGTCACAGCTAATGAATCACCACTAGTCCCACTTAATCCAGCTCTGCAGTTCCTGCTATGACTGCCAAGTCCTTTGTCTTGGTCTCTCTTTGCCCACCTCTCCTCCTCGCTTTCCTCTGCCTCCGTCCCTGTCTCTCTGGGTCCTGCATCCTGCCTTCCTTCTTCCCCGAGTCTTCTGTGTGTCTCTCTTCCCTTCTGCCTCCTTCACAAACCTTCTCCTCTCTGGCTCCCCTTTCCTGCCTCTCTCCTGCTGCTCCTCTGTGTGTCTGTGTGTCTGCCTGTCTGTGGGCCCCCCGCCTCCCGACCCTGGAGCCTTCTCCCTCTCAGCACTGCTGACCCTGTGCGTGCGAAGTTGGCCCAGTATCTCATCAGTCGTTGGGCAAAGATTTTCTCCTCCGTGGTGTAGTTTAGCGAGGGGTTCAGGGGGAGCCCGAAGATGAACTCGATCTCGTAGCCGTGAGGCACCCCCATCCACAGGGGCCAGGAGATCGTGGAGGCACGGTGTTCAAAGATGTAGGCGTAGACCCGGGCACCCTGGGCGGCCAGTTGCCCAGCCAGCTGGGCCACGGGGCACACGACGTTGTGGTCGCCCACCACATCACTCAGGGCCTCCCTCAGGCGTGCTGGGTCCTCAGGATGCAGCCAGTCTGTGTAATGCAGGACCACAGCCTCGGCTGCCAGGTCACTTACCTGGGGGACCCCGACCCGCACCCCGGCCAGGAACTGGGCCCGGCTGATGAGAGACTCGTTGTCTTTGCTGAAGCCTGGGGCCCCGTAAACGAGAAAATAGGAGCCCTCATCCTTCACCACACCCACCAGCACCTGGGGGTGGAGGGTGGAATGGAGGGACAGGCACGGACAGACAGGCAGACAGAAACAGATGGACAAAGAACCAGAGAGATGAACAGTTACAGACCCAGCGCCATGGAGGGAGAGAGTACGAGGTTGGGGAAGGGACGGAGAGAAAGAGGAAATACACCCACAGTTCCTTTCCTCTCGGCCCCACTGACCACTTTGGGATCTGAGCCCTCGGGGCAGGGGGTGACCATGGGGCCCAGAAGCCTGGACCCCTGGGAGTGGGTCTGGAGGAGCCCTCATGCCTGGGTCCCGGGGGGGAGGTGGGGCTGTTGGGACCCAGAGGAACCAGCTCCACCCTCACCAGCCACTAGTCACCTGCAGGCCATGGAAGTCTCCTGCGTTGATAAGGGCCTCGGGTGTGTCACTGAGGAAGTCTCCATCCACCACAGGCACAAAGGAAAATCGGAAGACACTTTCCTGAGGCAGTACGTGCCACTCGTGGTCCACCAAGTCCTGAGCTGGTCGTGTCCGAAGGCAGGCTACCAGCTCTGTGTCATTGCCACCAGCACTGCCCGGGGGACAGCCCACAAGGCGGGCTAGCAGTGTGGCCCTGCGTCGGGCCTCTCCCATGCCCACCGTGGCCCAGGGCCCATTGGGTGCACCACTCTGCAGCACAGCCCTGTGGAACAGCCCCCGGCTGGGCGGGGACAGCAGGTGCATGCCCACTGAGGCAGCACCTGCACTCTCCCCAAACAGCGTCACTGACATTGGGTCCCCTCCGAAGGCTGCCACATTCTCCTGCACCCACTGCAGTGCCAGCCTCTGATCCAGTAGACCAACGTTTCCCGGGGCCTCTCGGCTCCCTGGCAGGGCCAAGAAGCCAAAGGCTCCTACCCGGTAGTTCATAGATACCAGCACAGTCCCCTCAGCTTGTACCAGGAAGCGGCCATCATACACATCCAGGGAGGAGGACCCACTGTAGAAGCCACCCCCATAGATCCAGACGAGGACAGGGGTGGGGGACGAAGGCCTGGGGTATGGTGTCCACACATTGAGGTAGAGGCAGTCCTCACTCAGCGCACGGTTGGGGTTCCACATCTCAGTGCCCTCAAAACCAGGGTACAGGGTGTCCACATATTGGTAGCAGACGCTCTGGAAGGTTGTAGCATCCAACACCCCTGGCCAGGGCCGCTTGGGCTCTGGTGGCAGAAAGCGACGGGGCCCCACAGGTGGCTCTGCGAAGGGAATGCCCAGAAAGGCAGAGACAGGGCCCCCAGGGACCTTTAGGCGAATACCTCGCAGCCGGCCACCTCGAACTGTCACCAGCAGCTCTGGGTCCTCCCGGCCCTCAGCACCTGCCCCTCCTCCCAGGAGGGAGAGGAGGAGGAGAAGGAGTGGGGAAGCCAAGGAGGAAGCGTGACACCACGGGGGCCTCATGGCTGTAGGGCAGGCAGCGTCTGCTGGGAGAAAGAAAGGGGAAGGGTGAAGGCCTCAGCGGCCAGGAGGGAGGAGATTAGGGAACAGTTTTGCCCAAGGGTTATCACTGAGCTACAGAGGAGGTGGGGCAGGAGGAGAGGGAGGGAGGGAGGGAGGGACATGCAGGGACAAGGACACAGGCCAGCAGGCAAGGGAGGACAAAGATCAGGCAGATACACATTCCCAGACAAATGCAGGGAACAGAGGTGAGTCCTGCCAAGGAATATCCTCCCCTGCCCTGCAGGGGACCCGCCACCCTCACCTCCTTTCCCAGGCTGGGAGGACTGGGCTGGGCCCTGTGTGTGCAGTGCGGGCACCAGAGGCCGCAGTCTCCTGTACAGGCCACCAGACAGGGGCGCGGCCCTCACTGACAGGCAGCACCTTTGGGGGAGCTTGAGGCAGCGTGAAGGCTCTACCCAAGTCTCCTGCGTTGGCCAGGGCTGGGGCCCTGAGGGGTGGCTTGAGCTTTCAGGGGCGGGAGCCCCAGGTCCTGGGGCACCCCAAATCCTACCTACCACACACCCTGCCCCACCCTGCCCAGCCTCATCCACTGTCTGGCACCGTGCTGATACTCGCCGGTTCCCATCACTATGCACCCGGTTAGCCTAGCCCTAGCAAACAGGCTCGCCAGCCCTGGACCCCAGGATTCATGCCCCCGTCTGTCCGAAGCTGCGGTGCACGCCGCCGCCGGCGGGAGGCAGTAGAGACCGACAAAAGGTCGGCGCTCCCCGCCGGGAGCCGGGTGCCGGGAACTTGGGGTGGGGGTCTGGCGGCTCGCGGGCATGGCGGAGGGGCCTGAAGGGCGAGCCGGGACGCCTGTGTTCCCGGAGCTCCGGAGATCCCCGGCGGCAAGGGCAGGGGCGCTATTCTGGGGCAGCAGCTGTTGCGGTTCCGGCATCTCCAGCCAAGGGATCAAAATTCCCCGGGTGGGAACTCCCCCCTCTCCCTCCCGGCGGGCACCCCTCACCCGGCCCCCGCCGCCCTGGACTAGGGGTGGTGGTGGTGCTGGAGATTAACTAGGGAACCCGAGTGCCGCTAATTATAACTCGGGGCTTCCGCTGAGCCTCCCCTTCCCCAAAAATAGAGATGGAGTCTCCGCGGGAGAGGGGTCCTGGGCCTCGGAGGGGGCCTCGGCTGGGCGCTACGCAGGGGGGCTGGACTCGCGGCTCTCCGGATGGGGGGGCCCAGCCAGCGCCAAGAACCTGCGCAGCAGCTCGGGTTCCGCCCCGATCGGGGTGTCTTGCAGTGGCCCCAGAGTTGGGGGCTAGCGAGGAAGGGGCGCTCGGGGTCTCCGCAGGAATTCGAGATGCGAGGCGGTGGCCGGCCCCGCGGGGCGCCTCGCGCACGGGCGTCGGCAAGTGCGGCGGCGAGGGAAGAGTTACGGGTGAGTGTGGGGCGGGGGTCGCTGGGCAGGCCCGTCCCGTTTGGGGGCCTGGATGCCCCGGGGAGCGCACCATCTCCCGGACGCCGAATGGGCCGCGGGCCGGGGCGAGGATCCCGGGCTGGGAGGCAGACTCACCTGAGGCGGCCAAGCCGGGCCGGGCCGGGCCACGCTGGGAGCTGGAGGCGGCCGATGTTCCCCGGCGCAGGCTGAGCCGACTCTGACAGCCGCCGCCTCCGGCCCCCCGCACACACCCCCTCCGGGTCGCGCGGCGCCCCCGCCCGCCCCCGCCCACTGTCTCCGCCCCCGCCCCTCCCCGCTTCCCTGGGCTGTCACTTCCCCTCCCTCTCCCTCCCTCGGAGTCGAGACCAGAGACCCCGGGGCCCAGACGCAATCCAGTGACAGACGCCGACAGACGACAGACACGCAGTGACAGACACGACCCAAAGACCCGTAGCAGCGAAGCAGACACCCACGTGACGGACAGACGGACAGAGCCCACGGAGAGAGACCCACGAAGACGGACAGTCTCATGCAGTGACAGTCACAGACGAACGCAGGGACGGACTTTCACAGACGGACGGACACGCTTGGACACGCTGACAACCTCAGTCGAGGCTGGGGAAGTTATCCCAAGGCGGAGGGCCCAAATAAACGAGCATCCCTGGCCACGACACAGACAGGGGTGACGGGGGGGGGGGGAGCAGCAGATGAAAGTGTGGCTGAAGACCCCCCTCGGGGGTCCGGTGGCACTGGTGACATGGGACACTCTTGAGGATGAGGGGACACCTGTGGGAATGGAGATGTGAGCGTAGGATCTCCAGTAGAAATGAGGGGGCTTCCCCATGGAGGAAGGAGACCCCGGGGTAAGAGGTGACTCGGGGACACCTGCAGAGGAAGGCCAACGTGGTGGCACGCGCAAGGCTGCGGGGCGAGGCCGCACTCAGCTGCTGCAGTGGAAACTTCTGGAATCCCCGCGGGTGGGTTTGCGCTGGTTCCCTCACGGGTGACCTCGGACTTTCGTCACCAAGGGCCAGTCGGGGTATGACATCACCAGGTCAGGCATTCATTGGCCGCCGCGGCCGGCAGGTGGGAGCGGCCTGGCCCGAGCGCTCCCAGCCTGCTCCGAGGGGCCTGAGCCGCACGGACCCCCACGGCCCGCCCTGCAGGAGGTCACCCGTGGGAACGGTGCTGCCGCAGCGGCGTCCCCACGCCCCAGGTGAAGGTGGAAGCTGCGTGTGCGCCTTCCACACAGGCGGCTGGCTCGTGAGCCCGCGGGCCCGGGCGTGGGAGAGCGGCCGGCGCGGGCGAGCGTCGGGGCGTGCGTGCTCGCGCGCGCGGCGGTGCGGGGTGCTCCGCGGGGCGGGCGCGGGCGCGGGCGCGCGTGCTCGCTCGGGCCGCCGCGGGCCTCGGAGCGCCCCGGGCACGCGTCCGCCGCCGCCAGCGAGCAGGGGCACCGGGTTTCAGGGTCTGTCACAGGGAGAACCAAGAGTCGTGCCTGGCCCTGCGCCGCACGGTTCCCAGCCCTCTGCCCCGCGGGATCCCGGCCCCGCGGACGCGGACCCCCGCGCTGGGCGCGCTCTGCGTTTTCTGGAAGCGGCCGCCAGGTGGCGCCAGAGACGGGGCTGGGGTAGGGGGTCAGGGGATTAACCCCTCGCCTCTCTTTCCTCGGTCTCCGACCCTCCGCGCTCCACTCCTCAGGCACCCCAAAACCCCTAGCTTGGACAGCGAGATTTCCTGCACCTGCCTTCAGAGTCTTGGCAGACTGCTTAAGGGCTCCCCACTGGCCAGACCGCGTCCCCTAGTTCAGTTCTCTGAAGAGCAGGCGTAAGGGCTGTGGATTGGGACAGGGGACAGAAAGATGGGCAGTCGGTGTTGCTGCGAGAGAAAAGGGTCTGAGGCAGGTTTCCGAGCGTGGCAATTATGAATTATTAGAACGGTTAAACAAACTATGAACGGCTGAGCAGAGGCCTCTGTCCTAATAGGGACTTTTGCTAGTGCTGAGGGCTTGCCCCTTGTCAACCTCCAAAACAGCCAGTGCCACGCAGGCGTGTCACCTAACCTCTGTAGTCATGAGTTCAAGGGTCTGGACAATGGAGATAAGGAGGGCAGGGACAGCTTGTTACCTAGGGTTGTCATTTTCAGGAACAATCCCTCCTTTTAACTCGAGTTTCTCCCAGCCTTTGGCCATGGACCTAACCTAACCAGGATGCCTTGTCCTCCACAGTCCAACAAAATAACCTCCTCCAGCGTCCTCTGTGATCACACTCTTCACAGCTGTCACTGTGGGGATGTCCTTGATTCTTCCTGTCCCCCCCTCTACTGCTTCTCCACGGACATGCATTGGTTCTTTGGTGGGTGCTGCAAGATGGCTGTCTGTTGGGGGCACTGCTTGGGGGGGCTGGCGGGGCTCCTGGAGGAGGGGTGGCCAGGGCGGAGGTTGGTGAGGGTGGCAGAGGGGTCCTGGATCAGGTGGCCCTGCCCTGACCTTGTGGGGCCCTGACCTGGGTCTTTCCACCATCCTCTTGTGCAAAGCATGACAAGGGGATTTTGGTTCAGCCCAAGGATTTCCTCCTAGGCTGCTGCATTCCCCTGCTCAGACTGCAGGGAGTCTGATGAGGCCATTGCCCAACTGGCATTAAGCTGGGTTGTTCCCCGACAGAGTTGGGAGCCGCAGGCCATGCAAGGGACTTTTCTTGTCTTCCCACCCCTTCCTGTGTTCCCTACTTAAGATTGGCCTAATATCATTCGTATTGAATCCAAGTTATGCCATTTGGGCTCGTCCATCCTGTTCCTCTTTTGTTTTGTCTTGTTTTGTTTTTTAGAGACAGTCTCCCTGTGTTGCCCAGACTGGTCTTGAACTCCTGACCTGAAGCCATCCTCCAGCCACAGGCTCTCAAAGTACTGGCATTACAGGCATGAGCCACTGTGCCCGGCCTTGTACCTTTGGCTCTTTTGCTAGTTTTGAGCATTTCACACATTTTTTCACCTGTCTCTGGACTCACTTTATTTTCACAATTTTGTCCAATACTTACCCAGTTTGCAGTATTTCCCGTGCAGTTCATCGAGCATCCTTTTGATTATGTGAGCCTCTTTTCCAGCTGGGGATAGGTACCCTCGTGTCAGGGGCTAGGTATCCTCGTGTTAGGATTGATTGACACCTTTCTCAGGGTTCATTTCTGCCCATGGGCTTCCATGATTCTGAAAGGAGTGAAATATGTAGTTTATGTTGTTTAATTCACCAACAGTGCACTGAAGTGTGCATTCCACTTCTCCTCCTTGGTGTCAGAATCCTAAAGGAACTCAGTATCCCAGAGTGACTCAATACCTGCCGGGCACAGTGCTCGGCATGCTGGCTTGCTGGCTGCTCAGGTTCCAGCCGACCCTGACTCGGGCTTTGGTTAAGCACTAGTAATGCATGTTGGGTGACTTCTTGGGAATAGCTGGCGAGGTCTTATTAGGTGCCATCGATGTTTGACACCCAGAGAGCTCCTGGCCACTCTTGACTGGCCAAATGAGAGCAATGCTGGAAGCACAGTTTCCTTAGCTGGCCCTGGCTGTGGTTCCAGGGACACCAAGTGTGTGCCACGGGGTGGTGAGGGGTTGTGGGTAGTGTGCTGTTCCACCAGAATGCAGGCATGGAAGATAACCTCAAAAACTAGCCTTATGGCTGGGCATGGTGGCTCACGCCTGTAATCCTAGCACTCTGAGAGGCTGAGGCAGACGGATCGCTCGAGGTGAGGAGTTCGAGATCAGCCTGAGGAAGAACGAGATCCTCGCTCTACTAAAAAATAGAAAGAAATTAGCTGGACAACTAAAAAAAAAGTATATATATATAAATTAGCCGGGCATGGTGGCACGTAGTCCCAGCTACTCGGGAGGCTGAGGCAGAAGGATTGCTTGAGCTCAGGAGTTTGAGGTTGCTGTGAGCTAGGCTGCCACCACGGCACTCTAGCCTGGGGAACAGAGTGAGACTGTGTCTCAAACAAAGCAAAACAAAACAAAAACCTAGCCTTAGGTGTCACGAGGGTGATGCTATCTATGGGAGAAATTTTAAAACAACTCCAGACTTAGCTAATATCGTTGCTATGCTCAAATGCTCATGTACAAGGAACTAACCTTGGGTCTGGGGGGTATAAAAATAAAGCGACCGGTGCATTGCTCACTCGAGTCATTGTCATGTCCGTGTGTGTCTGTGTCGTTATTTTATGTTCTGTGTCTTCCCTCGTCCTATAATCAGGCCACGACAAGCAATGAATCTTTATGACTGTCAGCTGTGTGACTCCTGAGTAGGAGGCGGTTATAGGAATGCAAGCTAGGGGACAATGGCTATTGTACATAAATTTCCCCTACCACAGTCCACACCCTGTGGCCCTTTATTAATTTTATAAAGGGCGGTAATACACTCTCTGGGGGCAGGTGGCGTCGTTTGCCTGCCACTGCCTGTACACTGTGCTAAACATCATCTCCTTTCATTCTCCCTCACGCCAAAGGGACAAGCCCTGTCATCATCACAATTTGATGGGAAACCAAAAGCGATGTGTAGAGACGCCCGATACAGGTGAGGATAGAGCAGTTGCTCACTCTTGCCAGCTGGTGAACTGGGGGCCCTGCCTGGACTTGGGATGAGAACTCTGACCTCGCTGGGCAGGGTGCTTTGCAGCCACTCCTGTGACTTCCAGAGAATTCACTCCTAGAGTCTCTCAGGCCCTTCCTTCCAAGAAGAGGGGGGTGTGTGTGTGGGTGGCCCTGCAGGAGCCTCCCATGCTTCCTGGGATATCTTCCTCCCTCCTCCCCCATGCTCCACTCCCCCCTCCTTCCCAGCCCTCCCTCCATCCCCCCTCCCTCACTCTCCATTTCTCTCTTTTCCCCTCTAGGGCCTCAGCCGGAGATCCAGCCTGTTTGACCTTCCAGCCATCTTGGCTCCTAGGATTTTGAGAGCAGATGCAGGATACCCAATTCTGGGGGAGAGGAGGGGCAGGTGATGGCCAATGTAGTTTTCAAGGACCTTCCTCATCCCGACTTGGGATGTCACACCCCCACTCCCAGACACAGAGACCTCTGTGACTGTAGGACGCAGCCCCCTCTGCCAGGGTGGGGGACTTGAGGGCGTGGGATGCCTAAGCTCCATGTGGTCAGAGGAGGGCCCATCCCCAGGCTTGACTCCTGACCCTCCCTGACCACCCCACCTCCTCAGGGACCACCTCTGGAGCCCCTTCCCCCATCCCTACACCACCCATTTCCTGGGGCTCCATGGCTTTCAGGGATTGCGATTCAAGGGGACAGGGGACCCCATCCCCAGCTCCTTCTCAGTAGGCTGGGAGCTCTTTGGGGGAGTGGAGGGGAGAGAAAGGCATGAGATCCACAGGGACCGTGGGGCGAGAGGAAAGTGGGAAGAGTTGAAGTCTTGGCAAGTGCTTCCTGCCCCCCATGGCCCTCGCCATCCGGACCCCTCCTCTCACTGACTCAGAGACCTCGGGTGGTGCCAAGAGGGCAGGTGGGGTGTGGAGCCCTGGAGCCACAGCACATGGTCGCTGGTAGGTTCTTCCTACCACCTTCTCAATGGAGAGGAAGGGTCTGGGCTGTTGACAGTTAATGGATTCATAGAATTCAAAAGCTATAAATGAAAAATGCTCTTCTTACCCCTGCCTCCAGACACCCAGTCTCTATCCCTAGAAGCAGTGGTACCTATTGGTCCTGCATTGCAAATATTATCAATAGATGTTCTTCTGTTCCCAATCCATGTTGTTCCATAGATTGTAGCACCCTATACATACTCTTCTTCTGCACTTGACTATTTTTTTTTAATCTAACAATGTATTTTAAGCATAGTTCCAGGTTGGTTCATAGACTTCCTCGTTCTTTATTTTCTCCATTTTTAATGAAAAGCTGCATAATTTACATTGCATGAAAGTAATGTGATTTAATTTGTTCCCCACTAATGCGCATTTAAATTACTTTAAGTTACTTGCTATTACAAACCTAGTACGAAAATCATTTTGCAATGTTGCAGGTATATCCTCGGGATAAATTCCTAGACTGGGAATTACTAGGCCACTACCTCCAGCGATATATGAGGGTTACTGGTTGCCTATAATGGTGCCAACACAGCCTCTTTTAAAATTTTAAAAAGTCATGGTCCAGGCCGGGCGCGGTGGCTCACGCCTGTAATCCTAGCACTCTGGGAGGCCGAGGCGGGCGGATTGCTCGAGGTTGGGAGTTCGAAACCATCCTGAGCGAGACCCCGTCTCTACTAAAAATAGAAAGAAATTAATTGACCAACTAAAAATATATATACAAAAAATTAGCCGGGCATGGTGGCACATGCCTGTAGTCCCAGCTACTTGGGAGGCTGAGGCAGGAGGATCGCTTGAGCCCAGGAGTTTGAGGTTGCTGTGAGCTAGGCTGACGCCACGGCACTCACTCTAGCCTGGGCAACAAAAGTGAGACTCTGTCTCAAAAAAAAAAAAAAAAAAAAAAAGTCATGGTCCATTTAAGAGGTGAATGGTGTTTCAGTACAACTGTAATTTTGATTTCTCTTATTATGAGGGAGTTTGAGCATCTTCTTATGTGTTTAAGGGCCCCCATTCTTCCGTTTTCCAATTTATTAAGTTCTGCTTTTGTCCTTATTAAATTTTATCTGCTTTTTTTAAATTATTAAAATGTTTTTGGGACAGAGTCTCACTCTGTTGCCCGGGTCTAGAATGCCGTGGCATTAGCCTAGCTCACAGCAACCTCAAACTCCTGGGCTCAAGTGATCCTCCTGCCTCAGTCTCCTGAGTGCCACAATGCCTTGGCTAATTTTTCTATATTTACTAGAGACAGGGTCTCATTCTTGCTCAGGCTGGTCTCAAACTTCTGAGCTCAAGCGATCCTTTCCACCTCTGCCTCCCAGAAGCCTCCCTGGCTTCTTTCTGATCTTTTAGGTTTATTTTATTTGCTTTACAACTTCTGGAATTGGATGTTTAATTAGTTAATTTTGTATAATTAATTAATTCAGTCATTTTAAAGACATGGGGTCTTGCTATGTTGCCCAGGCTGGAGTGCAGTGGCTATTCACAGATGCAATCCCAGAGCAGTTTTTACTTGCTCTGTTTCTGACCTGGGCTGATTCACTCTTCCTTAGGCAACCTGGTGGTCCCCTGCTCCCAGGAGGTCACCATACTGATGCTGAACTTAGTACAGACATTTGATCTATGTAGTTTACTATAGCCTAGAACTCCTGGGCTCAAGTGATCTTCCTGCCTCAGCCTCCTGAGTAGCTGGGACTATAGGCACATGCCACTGCTCCAGCTGTTTAATTAATTTTTATTCTTTCTTATTTATTGACATAATTAATGTTATACATTTTCCTCTGAACATTGCTTTAGCTAGATCCTATAGGCCTTATGTGTATTCTTTTCACTATTTCTATGTTCTAGATGCTGTGTAATTTTGGTTTATATGTCTCTGAAGAGCTTTTAAGAAAAGGTTTTAAGGCTGGGCGTGGTGGCTCATGCTTGTAATCCTAGCTCTCTGGGAGGTGGAGGCAGGAGGATCGCTTGAGGTCAGGAGTTCGAAACCAACCTGAGCAGGAGCAAGACCCTGTGTCTGCTAAAAATAGAAAGAAATTAATTGGCCAACTAAAAAATATATAGAAAAAATTAGCCAGGCATGGTGGCACATGCCTGTAGTCCCAGCTACTTGGGAGGCTGAGGCAGAAGGATTCCTTGGGCCCAGGAATTAGAGTTTGCTGTGAGCTAGGCTGACACCACGGCACTGGTGAGACTCTGTCTCCAAAATAAAAATAAAAAAAAAAAAAAAAAAGAAAAGGTTTTAAATTTCTAGGTGGTAGAATTTATTTTTAATTGGTTTATTATTAATTTCTAGGTTTAGTGCATTATGATCAGAGAATGTTGTCTATACAAACATATTTCATTGACTCTAAGATATTATAGTTGTAAGATGTGCCATTGTTATAGTTTTGAACTTTTTAATTTTTCAACTTGTCATTTTGAAATAATTTCAGGTTTACAAAATATTGCAAAAATGGCAAAGAGTTCCTGTATATCCTTCATCCATCTTTGAGTGTTAACATCTTATGTCACCATTATACAATTATCAAAATAAGGGAATGACCCTTAATACAACACTATGAAATAGTCTACATACCTCATTCAGTGTTGTTCAATTGTTTCATTAATGTCCTATTTCCAATGCAGAAGCCAATTCAGGATCACACATTCCATTTAGTTGTCATGTTTCCTTAGTGGACGTGACAGTTCCTCAATCTTTTTTTGTCTTTCATGACCTCAACATGTTTGAAGAGCCCTGACCATTTATTTTGTAGAATGTCCCTCAGTTTGGGTTTGTCCCAATCACAGGGTTAATGAGTATCATATTATTTTAAATACCACTAAGAAAGAAAAAGTTACTGCCAATGACAAATGTAAGACACCATCAATTGTAAGGCGTACACACATTTTAGAGATGTTAAAATGTGAAAAAATATGCAGCTTAGAACTAATGAAATCCTGTGTAGTTCTTTTAGGGATATTTTCTTTTTCGGTCTAATGTGTGGTAAAATTTGTGACTCATTGGCACCTGAGAAAAGATAGATTCTCTGTTTTCAGGATCCAGAATTCATTATATGGATCAATTAGATTGGTTGTACTATGTCATTTGGGCTTTTTATATTCTATTAAATCCTTTCTATTTTCATTTTTAAAATTTATTTATTTATTTATTTTTGAGACAGAGTCTCGCTTTCTTGCCTAGGCTAGAGTGAGTGCCGTGGCGTCAGCCTAGCTCACAGCAACCTCAAACTCCTGGGCTCAAGTGATCCTCCTGCCTCAGCCTCCCGAGTAGCTGGACTACAGGCACAAGCCACCATGCCGGCTGATTTATATATATATATATATTAGTTGGCAAAATTAATTTCTTTCTATTTTTATGGTAGAGACGGGGTCTCGCTCAGGCTGGTTTTGAACTCCTGACCTTGAGCAATCCGCCCGCCTAGGCCTCCCAGAGTGCTAGGATTACAGGCGTGAGCCACCGCGCCCGGCGATATTTATTTTTTTTTAATTTTATTTTTTTTGAGACAGAGTCTAGCTTGTTTCCCAGGCTAGAGTGAGTGCCATGGCGTCAGCATAGCTTACAGCAACCTCAAACTCCTGGGCTCAAGCAATCCTACTGCCTCAGCCTCCTGAGTAGCTGGGACTACAGGCATGCGCCACATGCCGGCTATTTTTTCTATAATATTAGTTGGCCAATTAATTTGTTTCTATTTATAGTAGAGACGGGGTCTTGCCCTTGCTCACGTTGGTTTCGAACTCCTGAGCTCAAATGATCCACCTGCCTCAGCCTCCCAGAGTGCTAAGATTACAGGTGTGAGTCACCGTGCCCAGCCAACAGTTTGAATTTGATATTTATTTTATGGGTTACTTCATGACATCAATTTGCATGGGGGAAACCTTGCATATTTTAACTCTATGATTATTTTGAACTTCATTTAATCTGAGATGGAAGCATCTTAAGATGTAAGACTGCAGGCCGGGCGTGGTGGCTCACGCCTGTAATCCTAGCACTTTGGGAGGCCGAGGCGGGCGGATTGCTCAAGGTCAGGAGTTCGAAACCAGCCTGAGCGAGACCGCTCTACCAAAAATAGAAAGAAATTAATTGACCAGCTAAAATATATATACAAAAATTAGCCGGGCATGGTGGCGCATGCCTGTAGTCCCCAGCTACTCAGGAGGCTGAGGCAGTAGGATCGCTGAGCCCCAGAGATTGAGGTTGCTGTGAGCTAGGCTGACGCCACGGCACTCACGTCTAGCCTGGGCAACAAAAAAAAAAAAAAAAAAAAAAGATGTAAGACTGCAGATGCAGGTTAGCAATTTATACACTTAAACCAAAGCTGCACAGGTTACTGGAGTGATGCCAAACACTATGTGATTTCTGTTCAATTTTTAATTTAGTAAAGAGTCTAAGGTATAGCAAATAAGATCAAAAATCAAATTTTACAATATTACATTACACATCAATGAGATTTAAATGTAGGAATTGTAACCAGAATATACTGCAGTCCTTGGATTTTTCTGGCATTCATTTGTTTTGCAACTATGCGTGTGAATCGACATACTGGATCACTGCTATTTTCAAAACATTGTGCTTTAATTACTAGACACAGAGTGCTGGCATAAGGATTGCCAAAATTGTTATTCTTGAATGTCCTGGAAGATATTCCAAAGAAAAATAATAAAAATGTATAGAAAAGAATTGAGTGATAAAATAATTTAAATAAGAATATATAAATAAAGCTCATAATACTCACTTCCTTCTTGTTTGCATTTGCCTAGTAGATTTTGGCCACTGTTTTATTTGGAATCTTACCAGATCACTGGATCTGAGATATAGCTTTGTATACAGCAGAGCTAGCTATTCCTATCTGATTTTATCTTTCTTTTTTTTTTCTATATATTTTTAGTTGGTCAATTCATTTCTTTTTATTTTTTTAGTAGAGATGGGGTCTCGCTCTTGCTCAGGCTGGTTTTGAACTCCTGACCTTGAGCGATCCTCCCGCCTCGGCCTCCCAGAGTGCTAGGATTACAGGCGTGAAGCACCGTGCCTGGCCAAGAAAACAGTCTTGAACTGCCCATGGCTGTCTGGCTCTTGACAGTAGAGCTGCAATTCTCTGAACTCCTTTCACCACTCAAGGATGTAGAGGGAGCCTGGAATTGCTCTGTGCCTTTCATTCATCATCAGTAAAACATGTGTTTGGTCTACTTTTTTTCCAAATCTAAAATATACCCTTGCTGAGGTCTCAGAGAGCAGCAAGGCACAGTGATTAAGACAGTTGGCTCTGGAACTGAAACGTCTTGGTCCCTGTCCCAGCTCTGCCATTATTTCAGGTATGGCCTGGGCTAGTCTATTAACCTCTCTTTGCTTCTGTTTCCTCATCTGTAGGATGTGGCCGGCAAGAACAGTACTCAGGTCTGGGGACCTCTGTAGGCATGGATATGATCTTGGCGCACTCCCCAGGCACACAGGTGAGTACTCAGTAAATGAGAGCATTTAGTGATTCTCAAAGACTATTCAAGCATTCTCCTGGGCCTTTATTTACCTCAAAATATTCTTTCATGGCCGGTGCCATGGCTCACGCCTGTAATCCCAGCACTTTGGGAGGCATAGAAGGGAGGATCGCTTGAGGCCAGGAGTTTGAGCCCAGCCTGAGCAACATGGCAAGACCGTGTGGTGCATGCCTGGAGTCCTAGTTACTAGGGAGGCAGAGGCAGGAAGATTGGCTCGGTCCAGGAGTTCAAGGCAGCAGTGAGCTAATACTGGGCCACCTCACTCCAGCCTGGGCAACAGAGTGAGACCCTGTCTCTTAAAAAAATAAAATACTCTCTTGTTTCTTATTTATTCATTGAACAAATGTGTATTCACCTATTGGGTAGTTGCTGCAGTACATTAATTAAGACACTGGGAGGCACAAGACATAGCACACACAGGCATTATCTGACCGACATTTGTTTTGCTTTTCAGCTTTCAAACACTTGTAGCATCCGCCGTGCTGACTGCATTGCAAGGTGCTGCACGCTGCTTTAGATGTACATGAGTGGGCTTGAAATGGTTAGATGGCAAAACCCAATGTGGGGATGCTGGAAAATTGAGTAACAAGAGGCAAACCAAATGTGCTGTTTGTCTTTTTTGGCTTACCTTTTTTTTTTTTTGAGACAGAGTCTCACTTTGTTGCCCAGGCTCGAGTGAGTGTCATGGCGTCAGCCTGGCTCACAGCAACCTCAAACTCCTGGGCTCGAGCAGTCCTCCTGCCTCAGCCTCCCGAGTAGCTGGGACTACAGGCATGCGCCACCATGCCCGGCTAATTTTTTCTATATATATTAGTTGGCCAATTAATTTGTTTCTATTTATAGTAGAGACGGAGTCTCGCTCTTGCTCAGGCTGGCTTCGAATTCCTGACCTCGAGCAATCTGTCCGCCTCGGCCTCCCAGAGTGCTAGGATTACAGGTGTGAGCCACCGCCCCTGGCCCGGCTTACCTTTTTTATATAGTTTTTTGAGACACAATCTCACTCTATTGCCCTGGCTAGAGTGCAGTGGCATCATCACAGTTCATTGCAGCCTCGAACTCCTGGGCTCAAGTGATCCTTCAGCCTCAGCCTTCTGAGTAGCTGGGACTACAGGTGTGGACCACCACGCCCGCCTAATTTTTCTGTTTTTTGTGGAGAGTGGTTTCACTCTTGCTCAGGCTGGTCTTGAACTCTTAGCCTCAAGCAATCCTCCAGACTTGGCCTTTTTTTCCCCCCAGAGTTTTATTTATCGTGCTAAAATGCACACTGTAAAACTTGCCATCTGAACTATTTTTAAGTGTATAATTCAGTGGTATTAAATACATTCAGAATGTTGTGCAACCATTTCTGTCATCCATCTCATAACTGTTTTCATCTTGCAAAACTGAAACTCTACACTCATTAAACAATAGCTCCAGATTCCCCTCTCTGCTCAGCCCTTGGAAGCCATCATTCCACTTTTCTATCACTGTGATTTTAACTACTCTAGAGACCTCAGATAAGTGGAATCATACAGTATGCCTTTTTGTGACTGGTTTATTTCACTTAGCATAATGTCCTGAAGAGTCACCCATGTTGCAGCAGGTGTCAGAATTTCCTTCCTTTTTAAAGCTAACTCCCTTGTATGTGTATACCACATTTAGCTTATTCATTCTTCCATCAATGGACATTTGGGTTGTGTCCATGATTTAGCTATGGTGAATAATGCTGCTAGGAACATAGGTGTACAAATGTCTCTTCAAGACCCTCCTTTCAATTCTTTTACCCAGGAGTCGAATTGCTCAATCATACGGTAATTCTATTTTTAATATTGTGAGGAACCATTCTATTGTTTTCCACAGTAGTGTACTGTTCAACATTCCCAATAGGGCACAAGGCTTCCAATTGCTCTACTTCTTTATTAACACTTGTTATTTATTCATTTTTTTGATACTATACATTTTAGTAAGTAGGGAGTGATATGTCATTGTAATTTTGATTTGTATTTCCTTAATGATTAGTGATGTTGACCATCTTTTCATGTGCTTATTGGCCATTTGTATATCTTCTTTGGAGAAATGTCTGTTTCAGTTCTTTGCCCATTTTTTTTTTCCTGCCTGGTTTTGAATTGGGTTGTCTTTTGTTGTTGCTGAATTTTAGGAGTTTTTTTTAATATAATATTCTAGCTATTAATCCCTTATCAGATATATGATTTGCAAATATTTTCTCTTATTGTATAGATTGCTTTTTTACTATGTTGATAGTGTCTTTTTTTTTTTTAGACACAGAGTGTCACTCTTTTGCCCACGCTGGAGTGCAGTGGCCCAATCATAACTCACTGCATCCTTGAAATCCTTGCTCAAGTGATCCTCCCACCTCAGTCTCCCAAGTTGCTGGGACTACAGGCATGAGTTACCTGCCTAGTTATTTTTTTAAATTTTTTTTTTTTTTTTTTTTTTTTTTTTTTTTTTTTTTTTTTTTTTTTTTTTTTGAGACAGAGTCTCGCTTCGTTGCCCAGGCTAGAGTGAGTGCCGTGGCGTCAGCCTAGCTCACAGCAACCTCAAACTCCTGGGCTCAAGCGATCCTTCTGTCTCAGCCTCCCAAGTAGCTGGGACTACAGGCATGTGCCACCATGCCCGGCTAATTTTTTTTTTTTTTTTTTTTTTTTTTGAGACAGAGTCTCGCTTCGTTGCCCAGGCTAGAGTGAGTGCCGTGGCGTCAGCCTAGCTCACAGCAACCTCAAACTCCTGGGCTCAAGCGATCCTTCTGTCTCAGCCTCCCAAGTAGCTGGGACTACAGGCATGTGCCACCATGCCCGGCTAGTGCTGTTTGTCTTTTTTGGCTTACCTTTTTTTTTTTTGAGACAGAGTCATGCCTGGCTAATTTTTTCTATATATTTTTAGTTGGCCAATTAATTTGTTTCTATTTATAGTAGAGATGGGGTCTCGCTCTTGCTCAGGCTGGTTTTGAACTCCTGACCTTGAGCAATCCTCCCACCTCAGACTCCCAGAGTGCTAGGATTACAGGCGTGAGCCACCACACCTGGCCTGGATGATAGTCTTTTGATGCACAAAATTTTTAAATTTTCATGCAATCCAATTTGTCTATTTTTTCTTTGTTGCCTTTGGTGTCATATCCAAGAAATCGCTGCCATAACCAGTGTTGCGAAGCATTTATACTATGTTTTCTTCTAAGAGTTTTATAGTTTTAGATCTTACTTTTAGGTCTTTGATCCATTTTGAGTTAATTTTTGTATATGGTTAGGTAACGGTCCAATTTCATTCTTTTGCATGTGGATATCTCATTTCTCCAGCACTATTTGTTGAAAAGGCTGTTCTTTCCTTATTGAATGGTCTTGACACCCTTGTCAAAAATTATTTGACAATATATATGAGGACTTATTTCTGTTCTTTCTATTCTATTTCATTAGTCTATAATCCTGCAATTGCAATAAAAATCAGCACCCTGGGAGAAAATTGAGGGGCAGAATGGAGTTGGCGTTCTCAAAATTCCCATTCCCAGAGAATTTTCTTTCTTTCTTTTTTTTTTTTAGAGACAGAGTCTCACTCTGTTACCTGGGCTAGAGTGCCATGGCGTCAGCCTAGCTCACAGCAACCTCAAACTCCTGGGCTCAAGCGATCCTCCTGCTTCAGCCTCCCAAGTAGATGGGACTACAAGGACGCACCACCATGCTTGGCTAATTTTTTCTGTTTTTAGTAGAGACTCCGTCTAGCTCTCGCTCAGGCTGGTCTTGAACCCCTGACCTCAAGCGATCCTCCCGCCTCAGCCTCCCAGAGTGTTAGGATTACAGGCGTGAGCCACTGTGCCTGGCTGAGAATTTTCATTATTCCATCTGTCTGGAAGTTCTTTGGACAACCCCACTTGCAAGGCTTGTCTTTATTTGATATGACTCAAAACTCACCTAGTGCAAGTGGCTTTTTTCACTGGGGACATTTGTCAAAAACAATCAGTGGCAGTTGTTTAACATCACAGCTACCTGAGGCAGTGCTAATAATCCAGGGGCAAATAACAAACTGACCAAAAACATTTTAAGGGAAAAGGTAGGGAGTGAATGAGATGTCCACAGGTGGCCTTGGAAAGCTCCAACATATTCCTAGGGCTCTAGCACTGCAGGTTTTCTGGCTGTACGCCAGTGTTCTCTCCCCTCCCACTCACCATCTTTGTGCTTACGGGGCTATGACAACAGAAACGAACATTGAAAACATGCTGAATGGCCGGGTGTGGTGGCTCACGTCTGTAATCCTAGCACTCTGGGAGGCCGAGGTGGGAGGATTGCTCAAGGTCAGGAGTTCAAAACCAGCCTGAGCAAGAGTGAGACCCCATCTCTGCTATAAATAGAAACAAATTAATTGGCCAACTAAAAATATATAGAAAAAATTAGCCCGGCATGGTGGTGCGTGCCTGTAGTCCCAGCTACTTGGGAGGCTGAGGCAGAAGGATTGCTCGAGCCCAGGAGTTTGAGGTTGCTGTGAGCTAGGCTGATGCCATGGCACTCTAGCCCGGGCTACAGAGTAAGACTCTGTCTAAAAAAAAAAGAAAAAAACCCAACATGCTCAATGAAATAAGCCCGACATGAAAGTCCTACTTAAATAAGGTGGAATTCATAGAGACAGAAGGTAGATTAGAAATTACTAGAGCCTGGGTAGGAGGGTGGGATGGGAGTTAGTGTTTAATAGGTACAGAGTTTCTGTTTGGGTTGATTAGAAGGTTCTGGAAATGGATCATGGTGATGGCTGTGCAACACTGTGAATGTGCTTCGTGCTACTGAATTATACACTTTAAGGATGGTTAAAATGGTAAGTTTTATGTTATGTATATTTTATCACAATAAAAAGGAGTTAAGTTTTAAAAAACTTAAATGCTGATAACATAGAGTTAAATGACAACAGCAAAGTAGAATAGATATTATCTAATTTTTGGAGGAAAAGAAATCTATTCACAAAGATAAAAAGTGTAGAGA